GAGATACTTGCCGCCAAACCACTAACAACCCTCGGAGACAGCCAGAACCTCAGAGAAGGCAGCGAGAAAGAGGCCACACTGAGGAAGAAAGGCTCTCCCAGCCCAGAGGCAGAAGGCGGACAGCAATAGGTGTCTTCCTTGGCTGCTCAGTCAAGGGGGGTGCCTCTCTTAACCCTTGAACTAAGGCCCAGGACATTAGTGCCGGGGAGACGAGATGCTTATTAAAGGCCAACATGAATTTGTCAAAACCTACCTTAGTCCGAGTGGAAGGAGAATGCATCTCCACCCACCCCCTGCTATGTCAAAGGGGAAAAAATGCCTCCCCTTTATTCACGCCAAGCCCGCTCCCCTGCCCCTCCTGAGAGCTTTCTCATTGATGATCTTGACAGAAATGTCCATAAAGAGGAAGGCTGCCTCGTGTCAGGGCCAGATTTGAAACGTGCCTCATCCTTAATTCTGTCCCTTAGCAAACAGACACGTGATTCTGATTTTAGAAAGCTGACCATGAGACAGAGGCACTCTTACTTTCCATGTCTAATCAGAGTGAGCTGCCTGGCCCTGGGCACAGTCATCCCCAAAACTTCTTAGCCCTCGTGCTTTCCTTAGGGGATGGGTCCACGTGGTCCCCCGACCCTTGATGACCTTCCTGCATCCACGCTGCCTCCATGTGACCTCCCCCAGAACCCATGACCTTGCTGAGGCCATTTGCCCAAGGGGGCTGCTCAAGGAGAAACCAGACTTCTCTACTAACAAACATGGTCTTTTGTTTCAAACCGCTGCCAATGCTGACAGTCACAGTGTGCTTCAGGGCAGGCCTTCTAATGTTGCTTTTTATTAAGACTGTAAGTCTGGGCTCTCTCTGATGGCACAGTTGCAGCCACTTCAGTGCAAGTTCAATCCATGCCCCTGGAAGTGACCCACAAGGCATGACAGACCTCTCCTGTCTCTCCCGCTGCTCCCCTCAATATACTCCTCAATTTGCTTGTCCTGCTCCCCACTCTATCTCTGGTGAATCTCTCGCCGCTCCTGCACTTCTGGCCTACGGCCCAGTTCTGTAAGCATAAATAAATACATCTTAGGAAAAAGGCCTGTACATCTGGCCCAGAAGGGTACCAAAATGACATCCTGTTTGTCCCCCCCACCAAATCCCCTATACCTCCTTGACTCATCTCCTTTTCGGCTCCTTCTAACCTCAGAAACTTTAGTGCTGCTATCAATGTCCACACCTTTGTAGTTATTTTGCTTTATCAGTTCATTCACGCATGTCCTTATATTACTCACAGATGGGAAATTGTCCAGTATTGGTCTTGATCTTACTTTCTGACTTTGCTTGGGCTAATCCCTTCAAATTCCTTCTAATCTCTTAGGTTGGTTAAGTGGATTAAATGGGTATATGTAATGCATATAGGAGTGTGTGTGTTATCTATCACAAATGAGAGAAAATATTTGGGATCAGGTTCTTCATGTGGGACAGAATGGGGGGCTCCCTTCCAAGAGGTCCCCACTATTGGTGTTCCCAACATCAGGGGTGTAGAATTTGAGGTACAACATGATCTACTCCACTCTCACCCCACAGGGGCTGCACACATGTTTCACAGATCACTGCAACCCAGAACAATGAAAAGATAGAGTTGAGAAGGAAGTAGTTACACTCTACTCACTAAGGAGGGGGATATATTCAACAGACTCTAATTTTCTACCCTCCTTCACTGGTTTTGTGTGGTTTCCTATGAGGTAGCTACTGTGACCTATTCAATATCTACAAACCACAGCACAGCATTCCTTGACTACCTACAGAGTATCTAACTCATATCACAAGGCAGGCCAGGGACAGCTAGGCCACTGTTGACCTGACCATGTGACTATCTCCATGGGGATCTTAGGGTAACTGTCATGACAACGTCACACTTTGCTGACACAATGTCTCTTGACTATGGTCACAGTGTTCCCTTCCCTGTCCCTCGTAAAACTCTGTCCCTACCCTCCAGACCCTATTCCTCATACCACGGTCGCATGATCAGCTTTTACTAGCCTGTACACTTTCAACCAATGGCACAAAAATGCTGCTCAAGTAGCAGAGTCTTGAGCCTTGCAAACCTATTCCACTGTGTGTGTGTGGTGAAGGCAACAGTATTCTGTTTGTGTGTGTGTCTCAATTTCGTTTAACCACAGATGGACATTTGGTGTTTCCACCATGTGGCTACTGGGCCCAAATAATAATGCTTCTATGGGCACTGGTATACTAATCCCTGTTTTGAATCCTTCTTTTGTGTATATACCCAGAAGTGGATCTGCTAGATCAAATGCTGAACTTCTTCAGAAACCATGCTTGGGTATCCTTGAGCAGGTCATGGACCTCTCTAAACCTCATGTATAAAACCTGGAGATTAAAAGCCCCTCCCTTATTACATGGTCTGAGAATTAATGCAAGGAAAGCATTTGGCTCAAGGATGGCACACATCATAAACAGTCATAAATACATTTAATCTCATTTATCTCAATTCAAATTTAATCTCATAAATTTAATCTCATTGTCCTCTGAACTGAGGCTCTCAAACTAAAGTCACTCCCAGCTTCAAAAATCCATGATCCCACCATTAAATTATTTTCCTGTTAGAGAAGCCAGGAGCTCTCAGCCTGTATATCAGGGAACACCCTCTCAAGATCCCCACAAAACTCTGTCTCTGCCAAGAAGGCCCAATTTCCATAGCTTTCTCCCTGGAATTTGCTAACCCGATGCATTATAAACCAACCTCTAATTTTTCTGGCCACGCCTTCTTCCTTGCTTTCTTTCCACATTCCCTTTCTCAGGGAGCTGCTTGCTCCTACCCACTGGCGATCTGCATTTCCAATCATCTCCCCCACTTGCTTTTCTGTTCACCCCCCCACCAGCTAGTGTCTGCTGGAAGCCACGCTTGTGAAGTTCTCCATATTAAGATTTCACTCCCAAGAGCCACATATTTTAAATGAGTTTTTTTTTTCTCTTAGGCAGAACCCTGCTGGCAGAAGGACTGCTATTTGGGGGAGTCAGAGGCACGGGGGTCTCCCCTCCCATGCTGCTTATGCTGTGTTATCACTTGGCCGAATGTTCGTGTCTCATCATCCAACATGTGCCCCATGCGGAAGAGCAACAGAGTCTGCTCCACCCGGTGGGTGCTTCCATGCCACCCAATGCTCTCCTAGCAGAGTAAGCAATTAGAGGAAATGTGTTTCCAAACTTTTTTGACAAGGCCAGATTCAGAATTCCAGCAGGGAGTGAACTCGTTGAGGAAATATTTTCCTTCTCCACTCCTTCTTCCCCTCCATGTTCCCTGCAAATGTGAAAGCTCAGCAACTGAACTACTCTCACTAGACACGTGAAGCTGCTGTCAGGTTCAGTCAGCAGCTTGGCTGCCAGGACACCGCGCACCCTGCTGAAGCTGTTCCACAGCAAAAGGTAAGAGAGATTCTCAGGTCAGGAATAAATGCGTTTTTCAGATCCTGGCAAGAAAAAAAAAAAGCTGAGTTTTCATTTTTAAGGTTTATGGGTTTGTAGTCTCACAGGACAGGGTAGTGAGGAAGCAGCAGGAGGCCAGGAGACTCTTGCCCAGGGAGTCAGGTGCTGTGGGAAGGAACCAGGTTCCCCTGGATTTGGGCTCCTCTGGGGTTCTTCTGGGGTTCATTGGGTTTCTAAGGCAGAAATGGAGCAAGTCACCTTTGCTCACCTCGGACCAGTGACTGCCTTTAGGGATTACCACCCCCTCTTGGGCTCCTCAGTTGTTATCTTTGGGCACTGGAGGTGTGGCAAAATTCAAATGAAGCTCTCTCCAGTTGGAGAGTAAATCACCAGGGAAGATTCTGCTTGAGGCCGGCAGGATATAGGTAGATGGAAAGCATGCAAAGTGTTGGGAGAGGGGTCATGTGTGCTGGCCTTTTTGCCATCCTGAAAGGGATGTGCCCTAGATGCCAGCTGCCCATCCACATGTGGACTGTTGGTGAGCGCATGCCCCGTTCTGTCCTTGGGCAGCTGCCAGCTAAGTGCAGCAGCCTCATGCCCACCTCCCAGGCAGAGCAAGGTGACAGGGGAGAGCACCAAGTCACAGGTGCCCCCTGTCCAGGGCGGAGGCTGCTTGGTTATGTCACCTCTGCCCACCCCAGCCTGCTCTTACCTGCCAAGCTCTCACCTCAGCTCCTGACCCCTCCTTACAGACTCCTAAGAAGCCCCACTTCTTGCCAGCCTCCCCCAGCTTCTGCCTCCAGGGAGGCAAGAGGGAGGCTCCCAGGGACTGTGTCTGTCTCCTTTCAGCCTTGTGCCCCAGGATTCCCCGCAGAGGAGCTGAGGCTGGGGAATGACCTGTGGAAGCGCAGAAGCAGAGCTCTGTCTAAACAAACACTGGGCATCCCTGAGAAACAACTTGCACTTTTAACCTCGGCCTTTCTTCTTTCTCATTTTTACCAAGGAAGTATATAAATGCCGAGGGAGTAAGCCTCCCACGCTGGGAATCCGCCCGTCCTAAAGGCTGTGACTGTACGATTTCATCACGCAAGTAGCCAGGAGGGACACCCCTGCCGCCAGCCCAGTTCATCCCTTTCCTTTCCCCCTGCTCACCTCTATGTCGGCTCTTTGCAGGGAAAGGGGGCTTTTGAAAGTCAAAGTAGTTAAGTCAGACCGGACAGGTGTGGGGTGATGGGCAGAGAGGGGAGGTGATGGGGAGGGTATCTTACGCTTTAAAAGGATAAAATAAAAATGAGCCAATAAAATTAGAACTGGTACTCCTTCCTGCCTAGGGCAGCTCCGCCCGCAAGTTGGGATGATAAAACCAAGTCACATTTTCAGGAAGGTGACAGGCACTCCACTCCCTCACACCGGCCCAGCCCCGAGAGTTAGCTCTAGGAGAAGCTCCCCCCACCCCCACTCTTACACCCTCACCACTTCGGTGACTCGGAGTACAGCTCCCGGCTAGATCCCTGGAGGGAAAAGCCTCCTCCCCGGGCGGGAACCCTGGGGCTACTCACAGTACCTCTTGGCAGGGAGGAGATGAGAAGCAGCTGCAGAAAAGTGAACCCCAACTGCGTCCACCAGCCCAGCTCCATTGCTCCCGCAGCCAGTGCCGGTGACCGAGTGTCTGCTGGGGAGAGACCAGGACCTCGGGAGGCCAGCAGCAGGCGGCTCTTACAGGGACCTCCCCAAGCCCCAGCGGAGCGGGAGCTCGGGTTTCAGCTCGCCAGGCTCTCCCATCCTCATCGGAGGGGAACCACCTTCAGCCAGCGCGACGTCAGCCCGAACCTCTCCTCTCACTGCTGCCTTAACCCTTGGCAGCCCGGAGGTGTGGCCAGGCGGAGTGGCGGCCGCGGGCTGTGCCTGGAAGGGAGTGGGAGGGAGTGGGGGGGAGTGGAGGGGGCGGGGTGGAGAGGCCAGTGAGGGTGGGCTAGCTCCAGACACTCCTGGCTGGGGATGGGGGTGCGGGCGTCAGGTAGCCCCAGGATGGCTCAGATTGGGGGGGGGGTGAGAGAAGAGGGCAGGGCTGTGGGGGCCATTCAGGTGTACCTGAAACCCCACATACATGCGTGCCACCCACACCAGAAGCCTGGGATGGGAGCCCCCAGTGAGAAGCAAAGTCTTGGAAGGAGACACCCTTCACCTTCTCACCCTCCATCCTCCAGCTCTCTTCCAGGTGATCGCTGTTTGGAACCCTTCCCCTTTGTACTCTAGGCTGCTGGAAAACTTCTTCTCCCCAGGATGCTGAACTATGGTAAGTTCAGCAGCACAAATAGGAACATGGCCAGCAGGTTATTAGGCTCAGGGTTTTAAAAGCATACAGGATGTGACCTGCACCTACAGCCCTCAAGGGTAGTAGCTGACTGGGTAGTAGCTGATATTTTTGATCAGTTTCTCCGGTCCAGAAATCCAGGTGCCTCACATGAATTGACTCAGTTCTTTCTCATAAAAAAACCTATCAACCGAAATCTTACAGATAGGGAGACGGAGTCACTGAGAGGTTCAACAACTCATCCAGGGTCCCACAATGGGTAAGTGATGGAGCTGCGGTTTGAACCCACAGAAGCCACCAGCCTGTACAGCTTCCTATGTACACAAAGTCCGTTTCACCACTATGTCATGTCATAGGATGCGCATTATCGCTCATATAACATGGATGCAGAAACCAAGACTCAGAGATGATGTGACTTGCTCAAGGTCACATAACTGGAAATGGCAGGGTGCAACTCACTCACAGGTCTGACTTGGTCTCAGTTTAGACCCTTAGATGAAAAAGCAAAATTGGGAGAAGCAGAGCCAGAGCAGTGGGACATGATGCCTAACTGGGGAAGCTTGGTCTGGAGCCTGCGGTAGGATCTCTATTCTCCGGAGGGAGAAAGCGAGCGCTTCTTAGGAGCGGAACCACTGCTAGTGCCTAGTGCCATGGGGAAATGAAGAGCCTTCCTATGTTTATATCGTGTTTTTATTCTTTACCCTGAAGGATCCGCGGCTTGCCATGTATGTCATTACAATGTACTTTTAAATTTTGAGGGTTTTATTTTTAGCTATTTTTATTAATATATTCATTGCGTCATCCTTCATTTTTGTGCAATGTATGATTCCCCGTGAAATTCCCACCACCAGTACCCCGTGCACCGTGGTCCCCTGTGCTCTTCCCACCCCGTCCTGGTCCTTCTCCCTCTTCCCTCCTCCTCTACAGAATGTCTCTGATCTATAGTTGCCTGATGATTTTGATTTTTACTTTACTGTAGTTACTTTTTTTCTGATTCCTTTTTTGTTTCTCTACATTCCTCCTATAAGTGAGACCATTCAATATTTTTCTTTTTCTTTTAACTTTTGATTATATGTATGTTGTGTGTGTGTGTGTTTCAGTACAAAAGCCAACTTGAGAGGAAAGACAATATAACACATATAGTTTGGTTATGGTAGAGAACAGGAAAAGAGAAGACTATGACCAAAATATCTGGATTTTATTCTGTAGTTAGTGGTGGGAGGAGGAGCACCCCAGTAGTTTCTGAGCAGAAGGTACTGGCCAAAACCAAAGTCGTAGGAGCAAAAGTCAGCCTGATATCCACATCAAGGGGTGGTGAAAGCCCAGGTTTGCACTGACAGAACACCGGGGACTGTTAACAGAACCCTGGAGCGAGCAGTCCATGATGGAAGTCAAGGGAAATCATGGAAGGAACGTGGGCGGCTGGATCCCCGGGCACAGGCCAGCTGGGCAGCGGGAGCACTGACACAGATACTCCTCTCACAAAGCAAGTCCCCAAGCCCCGCCCTGCTATAGGGGACACTGCAGCAAAGTGGCAGAGAACAAGAGCTCAGAGAGACCTGGGTTCAAGTCCTTCAACCCCCACTTTCTGACTGTAAGACTGAGCAGGTCTTGTGGGACTTGAATAAGATTATAGGACACCCAACTGGTGCTGCAGAATTGCTTGGTATGGGGGGGAGCCCCCCAATAGTAGTGACCGGAAAGGTCAGAGTGCACTAGTACAGTGCTGGTGTGAAAGTAAAGAAGATCCTCAGGGAGATGCAGAAGGAAGGGATAAAGTGACCGTCATCCCACTCCTGCTCTCACTCCCAGCTTTCTCACCTGCAAAATGGAAATCATACTCAAACCAGCTTTGTGGACCATTGGCAAAATGGAATGAGATTCTGGCCAGAGGCCTTTAACTCAGCTCCTAGCTCATACTATGCTCAATCAATTTTTATCATCTGTATTATCTGGCACTGTCACCAAGGAAATCCCACACTAGACGTCTTCTTCCTCTCCCGCAACCTCTTTCCAGGTGAAGCTTGTTTAAAACGAGCATCAAGAGTCGCCTTTAGAGGAGGGAAAGACCCAAAGGCAGCATATCTAAGGGTGGACGCTAGAGGTCTGAGAGGGACGTTCACTTTATGGCTGGTCAGCCGCCCTCCACTGTTGGGGAGGAGAGTGGGGAGGCAGGAACTGTGGGTATAAGAGCCTCTCTGGAGTCTGGCAGTGGGGGACAGCACCACCTCCTTCTTCCCACATTCTCCCCATCCACCCGCCCTCGCAGAGTCAGCTACATCCTACAGCCACTGTCTGTGGACAGGGTGATGGACTGACGGGCTGCTCCCTAAGGTCCCGTTGGCTTCTCCAGACTCAGGGGCCTGGGTCAGGCCCTCGGCCTCAGTGCCAGCTGCCCACAGAAATAACTGGGCCCCACAGGCCTGCTGTCACTATTTTAAGTTTGTGAATCTCCTAGTCTAGGGAATCTGGGGAGGAATTCTCCAAAAAGAGCATGACTTATTTCTTTGGGGACCTGAATGCAGCGAGAAGACATCACCTGTTGAACTTCACATGAACCTGGGCTGGCAGAGGGTGGGAGAAGCTTACTATGGTACAGAAAAGGTTGGTATTTTGCCTCAAGCCATATAGCCTGATCCTTTTTTAAAAATTTTTCTACAAAAGTTAACTTCTCATCCCATGATGGACAATTCAATTTTTCATATGGATACAGCTTAGTATTTTTCTAAATCAGTTCTTAACCTGAGTTTCGTGGACTCTATTGGGTAGGGAGGTTTTAGAGCCACCAAATCTCTCAAAATTATAAGCAACATGTTGCATGCATATTTTAAAGCAAGAAGGAACTACAGCCCTTTCAGAGGTTCAAAGGAATCTGTAAAACCTACAATTTTTTTTTTTTTAGAATCTTAAGTTGACATTGAAAATTTGACTTAGGTATTTGTTGGATTTGGAAACCTTTATGTATGCAAATGAATCTAGACTATAACATGCACATGAGTGTTTGGCAGACCCTCTGACCCACCCCTTTCCTTTTTCTAGTTCTGCACTAAGTGACTGGCTCAGGATCACACTGCCCAGTGTTGAAGCCGCCCAGGCCACTTACTACCTGTGTCTACCCAGGCAGGTTGTTTCACCTCTGGTGGTCTTTATTTCCTCATCTGTAAAGCAGGAAGAAAAATGGTACCTGCCCCCAGGGTTAGCAGGAATAGGTCAACGCAGTGCCTCAAACATCCTGAGCACCCAAGGATGGGTTCTCTGCCCCCTCCTTCCTTTACCTCTGTGCCCATTTCTGAAAGGAATTAATCCCTAGAAAGGCTGTGGGTGAAAAGGCGTAGTGGCACGCAGGGAAGTAGGGAATGATACCTGGAATTAAGAATTAATTACTTCTCAGCAGTCAGAAAACAACCACTGGCTGTAGTCAGACAGCGGTCAAGCATTTAATAACAAGTCATAATACCCACTAATTTTCACATGAAAGGATGCTGCCGCCAACAAAGTCTGGACTTCTGTGGGTGCCACCAGGAGGCTGATGGCATGTCAGAAAGACAGCAAAGGAGGCTGTGCCCCTAAGCTTCAGGTTGTAACCTCTGCATATCAGCAGCAGAGCAGCAACCAAACAGTGGAAGAACAGCTAAAAGAGAGCCCCAGAACTGGCCTACAGTGCTCCGAGTGCCTGCAGAAACTAGAGCTTAGTTTTCATCAGCTGTGCAATACACAAGGTTCAAGTCAACTAGAGCCAGAGCAGGAGAAGAGTAGGTATGCAGAAAAGACAAAGGCCCCTTCCAGAACCTGCTACAACCGGCCCCACCACGCAAGTCTCCAGCCCTAATGAGTCCCGGCTGTTCACCTACAAACAAGCAGTAACATTCTGCCTCCAGGTCTGGCTCAGCTCACGCCTTCTCCCCTGGGAACCAGGCAAGGGGGTAGGTGCATCTGCAGTGCTTTCTGTCTACATTCTTCTTGCTCGAAGTCATTCCTCATGCAAATTTCTGAAATCCTGCAAGCTTCCCACCTTCCTAGTCAGCATGCTCCTGAATCACTTGGGGAAACCTGCTCTTCACTTCTACATGCATACTTTCAAAGTTCCACTTTTAAAACAATGTCTGTTATGGAGCTGAACTGTAAAGTGTTGCCAAAGAACAGTGGCGAATTTTTTGAACAGTCTGAAATAGCTAGCTTAAGTGTTAATGCAGTTGCACCATTGCAGGCAAGGAGGAACAGAAACAGAATAATTCCAAGGAAACAGTGCATTCAGAGTGGAGTCGTGGCAGGACTAAGGGCACACTCAAGCTCCATGCGCAGGAGCTCCAGGATCCTATGTCTTCCTCCATGGTTGCCCAGCACCCCCTGCTCAGCCACACAGCTAGGGGGAAATCCCAATGCACTTCTCTGGGGGAGGAAAATCCCAAGCTTAGCTATAGATGGGACTTGCCAGAAAGCTGACAGCAGGTGGTAGATGCACCACGTCGCACTTTGGAGTAGACATGAAAGACAGAGCCAAGAGAAAGTCTTTGCAGGTGCTGGGCCTTTCAGTGGTGTAACTTGTCCTCTGCTTTTCACCAACAGGAAAGTGGCCTGAGGCGAGATTATACATCGAGTCATGGGCAGTAGCTGGCTGATCAGGAGCATCAATGAAAGGGTTGAGTG